TTATCACTCCCATATATAAAGGAGGTAATCGTTCGGTCGTGTCAAATTACCGGCCGGTGACTCTGTTGCCGGTGATCTCCAAAGTACTTGAGCGACTGGTGGCAAACAAAATCATTAAACACTTAGAGGAAAACGGATTGCTTTCGGCTGCCCAGCATGGTTTCAGAAAAAACAGATCCTGTCTGTCCAATCTCCTCATTACCTTAGACGACTGGACGCAAGCTGTGGACAATGGAAATCCCGTTCACGCATGCTATCTAGACATCTCCAAGGCATTTGATCGCGTGAACCATAACATATTGTTACAAAAACTCGAGCATTATGGTATTACGGGAAAGCTGCTGGCTTGGCTTGAAATCTATTTGGCTGACCGAGACGCGCGTGTATGTGTTGACGGCGCTCTGTCCAAGCCAATTGCAGCTACAAGTGGAGTACCCCAAGGCTCCGTTCTTGGGCCTACTTTATTTTTATTATACGTAAACGATATACCTGAGCTCGTGAGCAGTAAAATCACTTTATTCGCGGACGATATCAAGATATGGTCAAGCATACGCACCATTGAAGACAGTCACCGATTACAAAAAGATCTCGATACACTTTATGATTGGTCACTGAAAAACAGACTACCGTTTAACCTCCAAAAATGTAAAATGCTCCGTGTAGGGAAGCCCTTTGCATATAACTATACGTTGGGTCCACAACCACTTTCTTGGACTAGTGAAGAAAAAGATCTTGGCGTGTGGGTCAGCAGCTGTTTAAAAAACTCCTTGCAATGCACAGCCGTCTACAAGAGGACCTCACAAGTCCTGTCGCTCCTAAAACGGATTTTTGGTCGTTTCACTCGACTGGCACTGCCCCGAGTAATCAATACCTACATCCGACCAACCATGGAATACGCTATACAAGCTTGGTCACCATGGCTTCAAAAAGACATAATTCTTCTACAGCGAATATATCATCGAGCCACGAAGCTGGTAATTGGATTGCATAATAAACCATACGAAGACAGGATTGCCAGTCTCAACCTATTTGACTTCTACTATCGGTGCATCAGGGGAGACCTAATTCTAACATATAATATACTGAAGACACCTAATCATCCGCTGAAAAATCTATTGGTCAGACGTCGACCACGAACGGGCAGGAGGCATGACTTTTCGCTCGCGGTACCTCACTCGAGGGTGAACTGTCGACGGAACTTTTTTGCGGTCCGTGTATGTTTCATTTGGAACTCCTGTACAGTACATTCGCCGAGTTTAACCATTTTCAAGAACAATTTAGATGCATATCTTATGTCCAAACTGGATCTGGCACGGTTTAATGTGATACTCGGATGCATATCTTATGTCCAAACTGGATCTGGCACTGTTTAACTCCATGTGATACTCAGCAAACGTTACGCATATTTTTGCGTCCCTTTGTATATATACGTTCACCCTATGGTCGTTGTAAAGTTAACTGCTTTTTAGACCATTTAACCTTGAATTACCTTGAATTACCTTGAATTACTTGATGTGTCGTTTCAGTATGTTTCCAATGGGGGGGATATCGGAGAATAATTAGTTCTTCTGCAGCGGCTCCCATACAAATTCGAACACACCTGTATAGCACAGGTATTCGACGTTGCCCGAGTGAAAGAAGAACTTGTTTATTTGCAAACACGTTAGACATAAAGTAAACGTCTCAGCTGCGTCTTCTTGAACTTTCCTGGTCGTCCATTGAGCATTAAACAATAGCAAAGGAACACTGCAAAGCGGCTCCGTGATTGCCGTAGGAACATTCATCTGTCATCGTATGTGGGGGCGGCGCTCGGACATCAGACCTTAGGCGACTTGCATGTCTCATCAGTAGTATACACCGCTACAACACGTCCTCACCAGGAAAAAAGTTCGCCTGTTTTTGGAAGTTGATTCTAGGCTACATCGGTATGAACGGGTGCGAAAGATCTACGTTTCTTACCAGCTTCAGTTTGGGATTAGAGTTCTTGAGAAGAGCCGATGTGGTCTCTAGGGTGAAGCGCGTTTGTTTCTCTCTTGAGTACCCACTGTAGAGTGTTCTAAAAGCTGGGTATATGATGCTCGCTCTCTGTACAATGATGGACGCACTTCTCATTAGCACTCATGGATCTGATGATTTATCCAATGTTTGTGCTACCTAAATGCGAAATGTGATTCAAACAATGAATCGTACTGACGACGGTTTTCTTGTCATTTAAAAACTGACACCGTTAATGTCTACAATTTATCCAGCCGTACACGAACTACTGTCCGTGTTCACGGCTTCCATGCATGCATACAATGTTTAGAAACACATAGGCATAGCAACATTGTTGAAGTTGAGACTCAAACATGTGCAGCCCACGACATCTAGTAAACAAACTATGGTTTGACTTACAGGACACCAAAATCCACTTGACTTAAGAACTAACTAATTAGAGTCGGAATTTGTTTGTTTCATGAACCACGTTCCACGTAAGCTCGCATAAACAGTTTGAGTACGGGTGTCCTGTAGTAGCAAAGAGTTCTAAATCCTCCGAGCTGTCTACCTCGTAAAGTTACTTTGCAGTTTTTCAGAGACATATGATTATTTACCCAGATGAACCGATTTCCGTTCTTCCTGTATCATGCAAAGTTTATTTTGGTTTATACTTGTGGTTTCCTGAAGTCCATTTTTCTCGACCCCAGCGTTACAACGTCAGTATAATAAAAAACAGGCTGAAAGTACTGCTTTAAAAATCCTGAGAAGAGAAAAAAGCATAGATGGCATGTAAGGTGCAAAAAGGATACATATTCGAATGGGAAATTTGCCATGTCTGTAAGTTCCTATTCGTCACGAAGAATGTTGCAATGTAAGTGCCACTCCATAACTGGAAAGTCGGTTGCATGTTTGGCTGGGCAGTAGAATTTATCATCTGCAAGTTAACAGTTTATTTCGAGTCGATCGCTTCGTCTGTATCTCTGCTGTCTTCAGGTACTCGCTGCTTTTCGACGACTGTTATGTGGAACTTATGCCTACCAAATGGAGTGTATAAACTTCAATTACTGAGGAACAACCAGTGTACTATTTTGGGCGAACTGATCACGTCAGTCAGGCGTGGAAGTCGGATGTTGAAACGTGAAGATTTGAGTGCGTCCAGCGTGCTCTGTTGGAGTAGTGTTAACACTCGACTCACACGTGAGATCTCACGGGTTCAATTCCCGTCACGGCCAGGATTATGCACTTCTCGTGAGATTTAATGAGAGCTAAACTCGACAATAATTCCCTGTTTTGGTGTTTACCCAACAGATTTATTGCTTCAGGGCAGAAACAGGACTGGCAAAACGAAAGTGATATGGATATGGATTCTGCAAACCACGTAACCTCCTACAATGAACCTGCATACTGTCCTCAGCACAATCGCAACAAGTCCAACAAGCTCTGTGGATGACATTTCTCTCGGAGTTTTCACTTATTTACGTAGCATTCTTCGTATATCCGCTGGTGACCCCACGTCTTTTTCCTCACATCGCTTGCTCTAACCAGTATTTTGATGATATTTGATTGATTCTGTTCGAAAACTAACCAGACTATCATCCATAACAAAAGGATGGAAGGAGCAAAATAGTCCGCGGGTAAACATCAAACAGTCGATTACATTTCTTGTCTAATTAGGAAAACCGAGATGTACTTTTACATGCCACATATGGATCCGTCCCTTGGTTATTTTGCTCACTATTGTTCTGCAGGCTCACTCAAACGTGTATCAGAGGTCATCGTTTCACGAGGGTTTGGCAAGAAAACCGGTGGTCACATAGCTCGCTGAAACTGATAACGTTCTCACTTAGCCTGACCAAGCTTTTGTGTCAAAAACGAAGGCACAGCTATGTCCGCGGGTAAACATCAAACAGTCGATTACATTTCTTGTCTAATTAGGAAAACCGAGATGTACTTTTACATGCCACATATGGATCCGTCCCTTGGTTATTTTGCTCACTATTGTTCTGCAGGCTCACTCAAACGTGTATCAGAGGTCATCGTTTCACGAGGGTTTGGCAAGAAAACCGGTGGTCACATAGCTCGCTGAAACTGATAACGTTCTCACTTAGCCTGACCAAGCTTTTGTGTCAAAAACGAAGCGTCGCACAGCTATAAAACCATCAGTTGATTACTGAACCATTCTGGAACGATGGCTTCCTAATCGGTTTCATAACTTTTCCAAATGACTGAAGCAGAGGTAGTTTGCATGAGGAACTTTGAAGGAAGGATATGTCCGCAGGATTAGCTACGCCTACCAAAAGCCATGGTTCCCGACACGGACTTCTGTATTTCCTCATACACAAAGTCCAGTGGAACGTGAACTTAGGGTTCATTGCATGTCATGACATAATCATCGTCGCCGACAACATAACATCAGTGCTCAACACCGATGCTTCACTGCCGGGTCATGACGTGACCAGACATGAAAAGTACATGCGCAGAGGACGACGTGTTACCAAGGTCACCATGGGCATCACATGCTCCGAATGGCAGGTGCTTTGGCGGAGCTTACGAAACACGGCTTAGCAACATGCAACCAGTGGAGTGTGTGTGTTCACGACAGGAACGTCACCATTGGTTGGAAAGAACGAACAAGCCATTTAGCCATTCTACATACTCACACAATAACTCTGTATGCTTGTCCTGTCTATAGAGCCGTGTATTGGGTTCTCTGTCTTCTTATCGCGTAGTCTGACAGACTCAGTTCAGGCGTAACCAATATCTAGCCGCCCACGTTACAGAAACAGGGGGACTTTTTATCTGTTGCACACTGCTCAGCTTAGACCCTTCATATCGGTGGGTGTCAGTGTTGTTTATAGTTGTCGAAAAAGCCTCGAAAAGTAAAGGGCTATGCCAACGAGGACAGGAATGATTAAGGACCAACGTAACTAATTAGGTATGATATTCGCTGCCTGCATAAGCTAGTAAAAATTTGCTTGGCCGTTAAAACTGTTGCTATCCATGAATCGCTTTGAAGTGACAATATGCCGAAGTACGGTTCCAAAAGCGTCGGTCTTGAAAAGCTTGACCATCGGTTCACTGGACCCAAGGACACCTTGACGACGTTCAGTGTCACCGACGATTGTGAAGAAATCAATGTGATGGTCGTTCAGCGGAAGGATGGAAAAATACGTGACACGTAAGTTTCTTCACTGCTGCTCCTCAGGAGGGTTTAGACATCGTTAGCGTACTTACCACAGATGTACTTAAACAGTGTCTCTACTCCAGAGAAATACCTGACCCCCTTCGAGTAGCCCTATCAAAGAACTCGGTCTCTTTGTTCTGACCGATTGCTCGTACCATAAAGCTTCTTAAGCCGTTAAGAAAGTACTGCCACGTTGATCAGTCGCTGACTTAGTTGGTGCCGACTGGCAGAATTCTGCTTAGGAGCAGTACATCTCCGTCCCAAGCGCGCACCTGTTTAATACGTTTACCTCAGCATGAGATAGAAAGGCAAGAACTGTGCACTTGTTGTCACCTGATTGCTCCAGCGCCTTTGGCACCGTTGAAGGAGACTGTGGGGAAAGGTCCAGTCTTGTTTGGTCCACTTGATTCACAACTATTTTACCATTCGTAATCAGTTTACTTGCTTTAACTTAAGTAAGCTGATGACTTTGTCATTGGTTGCAATCATTTTGCTCCTAAAATCGATCTAAATCTAAAACATGGAACTGGTGAACCGGTGTAAATGTCGTGTGAGCATTCCCCTCTATCTCAATGCCCCGAGATGTAATGTACTTTATTGTAGTAATTACCTAAAGTTAGCAACATCAAGATTATTATACCGATTTTCACCTCTCAGTGTAATCGAAATATCGATAATCGGAAGCCTTACTGTAAAGCGGTGTAACACCGCTGTCTGTACATTCAATCTGTTCTCACAACTATTCAGTCTTTATCGTTCTGCACCGTTAACTCGAAAAGTTATCTACCAACTTCATCGTCGCATGACAGTTATATATATTGCATGTACTTCAACAGCCTCTTCAATAACTTCTGCTGTATCATAGTCAAGTTTCCGAAACACGTCTTTAGGTTTCGTGAAATTCCCAGCGTTGACGTCTAGCACCCCAAGACTTGTTTCAACTCGCAAGAACAGACCCTAAAGAACGGTCAAAACGCAAAGCCTGCACATGTGTCCAGGTTTAAATCTTGTCGGCTAAAACTGCTGTAGTCTCTCAAGATATTGTGAATCCCATTTTTACACGCCTTCCCACACAAAATGCTTCCATGACTTCTCCTCTCCCACACGTAGTCATTTTAACATAAAGGTAACATAAACATAACATAGAGGGAACATAAGGTTAACAGAAACTCGGGGACTGCGCCTGCCTGATGAGCCCCAAGAAGGGCGAAAGCGGTCGTGGGCTGTTGAGGAGTTTTCAGCAACCTTATATGTAGTGCATTACAAAAATATAGATATATTCGTTTACCCGTTCTCTTGTAGACCTATATGTCGTATCCGCACCTATCTGGATGTACATAACTTTCGTTTGCTCGATTGGACTCGATCTTTACACTATTGGGGAATTAGCTTAAGGGAATTCGGAGCAATAAGCACATAAGTGTTTGTGTTTATAAAGCTTATATATAAAATGGGCATTTTTCTGATGCACTCACTCGTGTAGTGAGATATGGATTAGCTTGAAGTAAACATCCGCGGGCAGAGATTGGTGATGTATTCTTATCCCACAGCGGAGAAGCGTTGGTTCCCTGCCCAACGCTTTCAGGCAATTACCAACTTATATTCAATGCGATATCAATCACCAAGCGACGTCGGTTAATAGATTCTGTCAGTGTTTTGACACTGGTCGCGATCAGCTCTAAAAAACCTGTTAAGGGCATCTGTCCAAAATAAATTTTCGGTCTTGGCCAGTCTAAACTGCAACCGAGTAGCAATACCTCACACATTTTTACTCCTACTCATCAGTAATAGTGAAATAGTGCTAAGACTGAATTATCCTAACTAAACAACGCTATCTCTCATACTCTGTGAACGAGGAAATCGGTCTGTTTGTGGTAAATAGGCCGCATCCTTCAGGGCTCAGAATTTCAACGGTACTTTTACATTTTTTGGAAGTTCTGATGTTTCCAAAGTAGAAAGCACTTAGTTATCGTAACTACGGGATTAACCACTCACTCATTAACAAAGCTCCTGCTTTGAGGAGACTGGCAAATCACACGGGCTTTTTAAAACTTTTCACAGCAACAAGAAAAATTGGATATCAGAATTTTTTAACTTTTTTTTACCAAAGCTTTGTTGATTTTCTGGTCTAGTCTGCTCTGGTAAAGTGGGATGGTCACCAATTTTCTTGAAATTTTTGTTTTGTAGTTCACTGCATGGCCTTATTTTTGATTATTTTTGGATTCCACTGGATTGGTCCGATATCAGATCAACAAGAGAATATCATATTTGAGCCACAAATAATGTCGAGTTTCTCACCGATTTTAGGCGACTGGTAGACGCACGCAGCAGCAGGATTAAATGGGTCACCATTTACTGGGTTATTTTAGAACAGTTACCCGTTGTGAATCAAATCACCGTACTTTTAATTGGGCCTTGAACACCTTGGTTTTTATTAAAATCTTAATACTGCGCCAGAGGGCTCATGTTATGAAAACTGTTTCAGACCATAGTATTTAACGGGCCAATTATGAAATTCAGGCTGTGGTGTACAATGGCACATTATTGGTCGGTGCATAATGTGGTCCTGTGTGTACAGTTCTGATGTTACCCCATAGATCACCGAATACAGTTTGCCGAAGGCATTTGAATGAATGACCCAAAAAGGATAAGGCTACTACATGCAGGTGACTGGAACGCCCAGTTAACAATAGAAACACAAAACGTAAAAATAATGACAAGCTTCATTTGACGGTTCCTGTGTCTTTGCACAACGAAGTGACACGTCACGACGCGTACACGATGAAAACGAAGTGCGATAGTCAGGTTGAAGAGACTTCTGTTTAGTCTGCACGTCATCACTAGAAGCTGCATCCCTATACGATGAGTCACGCCAACAAACCACTGGTTCTGCTTTGCAAGCAGCGTCACTTGTCTTTCAATGCTTTTTCCTGGTCGTAGCACTGTACCAACCAACACTAGAGCCAATGACAACTGTCAGCCTTCCATTCTCGAGGCCATAATTCCATTCTGAAAGTCTCATAGTGATAGGTAGCACCATTTAGAATGGGTGTGTTGGCAGTCGTTACGATATATCTTGTCACCAATCTTCCGAATTGAAGGTTTTCGCGCTCCAAATACAAGTCTCGATGCTCAACCCGCTTTCCAGGAAGTGAGCATTATTCTCGGAACTGAAATAGACAGAAACTTTGTGTACCGTTAATCAGTCAACAGCGATATGACCTGTAAAACTGATGGCCCGTCGAGTTCAAGGTCACGCACATCTATACTGACCGGTGTGAGCTCGACCGGCTTGAACAATGTTCCCTGCGTGAACGCATCGAATGTGCTGTGAGCGGAGCTAAACATCTTCAGCCATGTTGTAAGCAAATAACTGAAGCATTATGGATTCATCGAAAGCCATCATCAAGTGGACTGCACCGCGTGAAACAGGTCAGGTGGACCAAGAGATCTAATGTAACTACCTCAGGGAGTGATTGCAGAGAAGCTGTTACAGTGAACACAGATGGTATTCGCATTGTGAAAACTATAATCGTCATTGTCTGGACAATACCAAATTGTCCCTGAAAAACTGCATCGTTGGGCACCGGTTGTCATCTTGGTACTCGACATATATCTGTTCAGGACACACTAGAACACTTGTTGACTTGTAACCGTAATGGCAAACTCCAAGCATTAGGAGCTTTGTGCTTCGCCTTTCTTGCAGACCAATGGGTAGACGTCTGATTAAGAAGGGGTGGCTTCTTAATCAGACGGAAGTGAAGTAGGCTTATGTGTAATTGCACAACCGGAAACGCAGAGTGACATGAGTACACTCATTTCAAACCGGTAAATTCAACTCTGCCACATGGGGAAATGCGAAATACCCTAAAGGCATGCCAGGAACGAAAATGGTTATCGTCCGAGGGAGGTAGATGATGCACGATAGTGGTTCATTCGCGAGTTTGTCCTGGTCAAACTTTACCCATCCATGGTGTCTCGACTCAAGATACAACAAAATTCATAGGTCTGTATGCTGCTCCAGACTGGCGAAAACTGGCGATCGTGGAAATCGTTGATTCAAGATTCTTTGGTGAATCGATACCAGGAGTGCGAAACAACGAAAAAACACCCAATTGAACCAACGAAAATTTCTTTTGGAAAGTCTCGGTTTGTACTGAATCTGTGTTTTAGATGTCGTATCAAGATGCAGAAATAGATTACAACCTCGTTTGGCTTCGAAAACGGACAACATAGAGATAATGCTAAAATTATTATGAAAACCGACAATTTTGGTTGCGGACAAGCAAGATGTACGCACGATTCGGTTTTTCGATGCGTTGCTGTAGACAAACTTAGTAAGTTAACAAAGTGCTAGTCAGCAGACAGCCGATAGTTGGAGTCCATGTTGTGTAGTTTAGATTTACAAACATTTTGAGAATGGTTTCATCTTCAACCGCCAACCCGGAGGATGCAGGTTTGGTTCGCATCGGAGATCCGTCAGAGTCATACTACTGATAAATCCTAATAGGGATTAAACGGCTGCACAGTGCTTCTCAGCTATTCTGTATAGAGTAGCTCCAGTAACAGGACGAAGAACCTCAATAATTCTTAACTTCCGCATAGTCTGGCCTGATACCGTAAGCACCCATTTCTTTTTTAAAAAGTTCGTTGCATCAGAAGGACAACCGACATCGAGCTCCACAAAAATCCCCTTTCAATCAGATTGGCCGATAGATGAAAAGGCTTCAGGTAAAATGCCACTATGGTGCAAATATGGCGAGAGTACACCGGTAATTCTAGTAATGAATATACGGTCGGCAGAATTCAAGTACGCCCACGTGAAACCCGATGAATTTGCTGTAATTGATGAAAAAATGGACGGTGTTGAAGTAAACCAAGCCACCATGGCAGTTTGCCCACTTGTTCCGAAAGACCTCCATTTCTACTTACTGGGGAGTATTGCTTGAAACACAGTAAAAACCTTTACTCGAAATCGATCACGTGCTTGGTTAGCATGCGCAGAAGTGTGGGGGTAGACAGTAAATCATCATGCAGTTGTGGGGCATCCCAACGGATTTAATTTGTTCGCTATTTTTAGAAAGGTTCCTCCGCGAATGAATCTAACAGTGTGTCACGCGATCAGTTCGTAGCTTGACTGTCATTTTGGATCGCGTTACAGCCAATGAAAGTCTGTCTGGAAAGACGCGGTCGTCCTATCGCGTAGAGTGCATTTGTAATGCATTTGTCAGTCTGAAAAAAACATGACCGGTCGATTAATAACATGTATAGTGAACATGGGGCGTTTCAGGTGCACATGCACCCGGAGTAGCTAGGTGCAAACGTGAACAAGCACAAACGCGTGAACTAGTGACAGGAGTGTGGTCCGATTTACAATGCTGCGCTTGGTGACGCAGAACGACGCCCGAACATGTAACGTGCGTGACGAAGTTGAACCCTGCCAAGAGGTCTTTGCTCATCTAAGGTCTTATTCATGCGCACAAATCGTTTCTACGCAAGTTCCTGATCTGTGTCACCGATTTCAAACGTCATTTTTCAGATCCAACTCACATGTTGTCACCAAGACACATGTATCAGTGTTTGACAGTTTCTAACATGTTTGACGTCTGTTTACCACTCGGTACTATTTAGACGACGATTCACTTGGAATCGGTACTTTGTATATACACGGTTTGGCTGAACCTGACATGGTTTGTGGACGAATACACTTCTCACCTGTTTACAGCCTCACAATATGCGGACAGCAGGTGCCAAATTGGGCCGTCTATAAGCCGATTGTGAGAGCTGATAAGTATCAACCGAGGCTAACCACTATTCACTGGAAAGCGTGGAAATGGAACACTCAGGTTACCTGATGACCCCGTGAAATTTCATACCTTCGGCCATCCAAAGGAACTTACAAGGCAGCACTTTCTAGCATGTATATGTCTCGATCCTGTTTTCGATCAAATAGCTAATGCCCACCTCTTCGTGAAAATTCGTTGAATGAATTTTCAATTACGTAAAAATTTACTACAATCCTAAGGTTTATGTTATCAGTATCTGGGTAGTTTGGCGTGCCCAATTTAGGATACATTTGGAGCACTTACCTCCATACACTTCTCCATACACATACAATTCGATGTTGCAGGCGAACAAATAAGGGTGAAGGAATGTGAAAACTCCATAGGAAATTCTTTCAACCAATGTAAGTATTGCAGAAGAGTAGTGTGGACGGAGTTGAGTCGGGTGGTTTGGCGTGCCCAATTTAGGATACATTTGGAGCACTTGCCTCCATACACTTGCTCCATACGCATACAATTCGATGTTGCAGGCGAACAAACAAGGGTGAAGGAATGTGAAAACTCCACAGGAAATTCTTTCAACGAATGTAAGTATTGCAGAAAAGTAGTGTGGACGGAGTTGAGTGTATATCCATGTGCATATTTTGATTATTACGAGAATTGTATAACTCGCTAAATAATTTTGCTCACTCACAATAAATCTGACCAACTCATGGAGTATGGAATTCAGTCCGTTTACTATAGGACCCATGGAGGTGTCTGTCTAGCGAATGTTTGATAGGCCGTAGTGTTGTGTTTGGATTAAACCTATGGGAGACAATCAATAGCACATGCCTGACAATTACTGGTTCATCTTGGCTCGCAAACGCTCACCCACTTCAATTTTGATCTTATTCACTATAGACGTCATATTTTTATTGCCAGTCTGCCGGTACGGCATCGCATGACAACAGTGTCCCCACCGTTATCCTTCTTTCCGATCACGATATTGTCCAGCTGTTTCAGCGCATTTAATGCCTTGTGGTCAGCTGGTACTGTAGTTTGGGCTCCTAACTTCTCGGACCTGAGGGCAGTGACCAGCTACACACACTTTAAACGAAGAAAACAATTAAAACACATAACCAACACTGGGAATTATTTCTTCTATCATTACAACAAACTAATTATTGAACTGTGAGCAATCACCAGGTCTACAGCCCCGATGAAGCTATTTGCAACTTTCAGTGGGAGATGCAGGAGGTACTTTTGATTTACATCGCACTTTCTACCTACTCTTTATAGCTCACCTCTCTGAGTAAATTGTTCTGTTTAAATGTCACAATGAAGATTCACTGGTTCTCGAAACAGAGCCGAATAATTTGTACCATGATCTAATCACAACTATTTAACCCAGGGATACTGAGCTGAACAACGAAGAACACACTATAGTGTTAGCTTTAAAGCATGGCTTGTTGAATGGGCTTCGAGAAAATCTGCTTAGACTGTGTTATTCGAAGGGTTTTCCTCTAGTCAACCGAATGAGTGAATAATTTGTTCGGCGACAATGATGAACGTTCACAACTCGGTAGCTGAGCTTCTGCCGGAGATTCTAACAAAGCGGACACCTAAAGAACTACTTCTGAATCAGACAAACATATTTTGATATTTTTTCTATAAAACTTGAGCTGTTTAAACGCTTGTTTAATGTCTTCTTCTTCTTTAGTAGAGCAGAACGACAAGCTTCCTAAAAGTGAGGAACTGCACCTGAACTTAACGTATGTCTCAAGCAAATAGTGGGCTGATGCATAGTGTGCTCTAAAACTGCATGTTCACCCCTCCCATAGGAGAGTTCTGTCATGATTATCGTTGAACCTGAACTCTGGATCCAGTTGGAATGACCCAGAAGAGTCCAAGGTACACTTCTATTCCTATTCATCAAAATCCAACTTTTGTTGAATTTGTGACTGATGCTCAGAAAACCAGCTGTAAAGTTTC